CTTAGGGGTACTTTATTCTCCCTATTAGCTATTAATTCTGGTGGGTGGATAGTCCCTCTGATCTACCTACACTCTAGCATAAAGCTAAAGAAAAATTGTTACCGCTGTCAGACCCTCGGCGGAATCGAACCCAGCAGCAGCAATTTTTCATCAGTAACTTGAGGTAATTTACAGTTGATAAAAATTAAAATTAATTTTCAGATTTATATTTAATATTAACAATTATTGAGTTTCAAAGTGTTTCCACATAGTATTAATAAATACTACTACTAAATACATTATTTCGACGGATCTGTGAGTTAATAAGTACGGTTCGTTGTTGTTAGCTGCTGTCACCTCTCGTAGCTTAGTGGTTAGAGCATTGGTGAGTAAAGCCAAAGGTCCGGGGTTCGATTCCCGGCGAGGGTCTGACAACAGCAACAAGGTTTTCTCATTAACCTCGAGGTAATTTACAGTGGGTAAAAATTAAAATGAATTTTCACATTAATAGTTAACATTAACCACCAACTACTACTGAGTTTCAAAGTGTTTCAGGTTGTAATTTAGTAGGCCTTCATTTTCGAGGATTTGGCGGAGTGTAATTACAATTAAGTACAGTTTTCTTTTGTACTGCAAAGTGGTTTATAAATGTAGGTAAGCACATACGTTACGTTATAAATCTTGTCGATATTTATTGGAGTCCGGTGCGAAAATGGAAACCTCGTCACTCGTTCGCTAAACGGAAAACGGAATATAAATGAAGTATATACGAAACAATGCTGGCCACGAATACTAATCGCTTTAGTTTGCGCATCGGTGACGTCTTTCGCTTTCTTGAAAAAAATTTGACCAGTAGTTTTGCTTAAAACCGCAGCTACCGTATTAACTTAAATACTGACGAGAATATTAAATATTGACATCCGCAAAATTATTGATTCAACGTCTGAGATCAATTATTAATACTCGAACTATTACGTAAGATGAATTCAAAGAGAAAAAATATTACGTGACGAAGGTTACAAATTGATAAAAAATATAAAATGTTTGATAGCTTTTGTTAAAATAAAAAAAAGAAACTGTGAGAAGATAGTGCATAGGAAAAGCATATGATACATGTTTGATAGTTTTCTTTTACCAAATCAAAATGTATAATTAACATTTGTCAAATAGCAAGTCAAATGTCCGACGACATAACATAGGTTGTATTTTTAATATTCCGTTAGAAAAATCCCAAAATTGAAAGAAATGTTTAACCTAAAATTTTCTTTCTTGATTCATGGTATTTCAGTTTCAGTTGAAGAACCAGAATACTTATTTTATTGCTGTTGTATATAAATGAGGGATGCTACATATTAGCCATTTTCAAGATTTGCAATATTTTTTGAAACTTCACTGAAATGATTTCAAAGATTTTTGATAATTTTATTGTTCTATAATTGTTTCAACAAAGGAATCATTATCAAAAAATTACCCTCTAAATGCCCCTTCCGAATATATCCCATAATTACCCCAGCTGTATCTTTAGATTAATGTATTATTATTATGGAAAAGCTCTGNTTTTGGCAAAAAATAATATTAAAATAAGAAAAAAACTTTTTTAAACATCAAAATTTCTTTTAACTCATTATTAATAATTAAATCGAAGCGCAAAATTCTTTTTCGATTTGATTCTGATTCAAATCAGAACAAGATAAACTAACCATAATTTCTCTTTTCTTTTCAACGTTTTGCACCCGTTGAATGAATGAATGTTAGGTTATGGTTGCTTTGGGTTGCCATCATCCCTTCTAGTTATACAATATAATAAAATAGAAAACGATAACAACTTATGAAAGGTAAAAGATACAACTGGGTCAACCTAATCTTTGTAAGGGGCATTTAACCGTAATTAAAAAGTCGAATTAAAAAATATAAAAGCTTCGGTGATCTTGCCTCCTTAATCTTAATAACCATTGAACATCTGCTCTTTAGTCTGTAAAATCTATTTCGAATTTTTTTAAAGTAATGTTTGCATGTGTAAAAGGTAGTTACGATTATAGACAAATTAATTTTATTTATATGCACACATAAATAACTATACTTAATTGCACTAAGCTTTTTTAAAAGTTCTGTTAGTTTCAAAAGAGGCTACGTTTTGATTCGAAACCAAACATCGTTTCAAATCTAATATCGCTGGTCGGCCTTCGATTACAAAACCCGAATGGATCATGGTATAAAAGCACTAACAGCTCAATTCACTCGGATTTAATAAATTATTATTTACTATCGTGTCCTACTGTTGCGGAATACATTGCACAAGAAATAGTATAGCGTTGTGGAATAAATTTACGCTGGAATTTTCAGAATATCACTTTAAAGTTTAATAAAAATTGTAAAATTATTGAAATTATACTTTAATATGCCATTCGTAGTAGGTTAACCGATTGTCATATTTTATTCATAGACAAATTACACCCACGGCGATAAGGTATTTTAATTGATATTTAAAAAATATCAAAAATTTCGACCCTGAAAATGAATTAAATTAGCATGTACAGCAGCATCAATAAATATTTGGTGGTGACTACTACAGCCAATAGACCCATCGGAATGAATTAAAGAAAATGTCATAGAACGTCATAAACCGACGTTTGGTAACATCCATTTCCTTGCCCTTCTACCGCGAGTTTTTGGTGGATTACTGCCAAGAAGCCCGTCGAAGTGTAGGTATTCAGGAAAGTATTATAAAACCTCCTATAACATGCTTAGATGTCGTTTGATACCATCCTCAACCTTGTCCTAATACTTCTTCATAAAGAAAGTGAACTTCTGTTTTATCTGATTGCCGAAAACAGAACTTTAATAAATGAAATTTAATTCCACGAAAACGAGAGCAACCTACATTTCCATCTGCGAACAATAATCTAATCTAGGTTTACCTTTACCCCTCTTAACTCCTGTTTTTACTTCTAATACGTCACTAACTAACCCTTTATGTTTGAGAAGGTGTCTTACTAAGCTATTTCACCTGTTTGCTATTAAATTCCATAGCGCCTTCTCTTTTCTGACTCTTTCTAATACCTCCTCATTTTTAATTAAAAATGACCCTACTGTGCGCTATTCTTTCTATTTTTTATATTTCTAGCGCTTTCTTCATCCAGAATTATATCACTTCCTTAGATCTCGAAAACAGACATCTTCTAATTTTTCGTATCCTATTCCTATTTTTACATCCTTTATAAGGAATGAGTGGCCAAACAAAGGGCAAACAAAAGATAAAGCAAAATACAAGATGATCCATCTTAAAAGTAAATTAGTTTGTAGTCCAGTTGTATTCCTGCTGCATACTCCTGGTATTTCACCAATTTCATATGGGTTGTCTTTGCTTTCAGCAAAAACACAACGGATGGCGTTTAAAATGACAATAATTTATTATGAATTAAGTAGTCGATTAATATTTTAAATGCATCCTATTGATAATGAAGCAATTAATAGCCATAGAGGTTGCCAAATTAAAATGAATTACCTTTTTGTGACTCCATAACACGTTGACACTTGGTTTTCCACGTCGGAAATCCGACTGGTCGATAACATCGTCGTGGATCAAAGACGCCGAGTGAATCATCTCTGCAATCATTGCTACGCTCCTTTGGGATTGCAAAAGGTCACTGAAAAAGAAAAAAAAAATATTTTCTTACTGATGTTCACTTCAACGTTCCTTTTTGTGAGATATTCATTTGATGGACAAAAGAAATCGAACAAAAAAAGTGCAGCTATGATTAAAGGGACTTAAATGTTTTCTTTTAATTAACTGCACAGTGAATGAAACAAAGTCTTTTCTTACAGAGATACTTGCTGAATATAAGTTTTTGATCAGCCTTCTGTAAAAATTGTCACATGTGGATCATGATTTTGAATTTGTTGGTTTTCATCAGAACGTAACATTGAATGAATAATAAATAATCGTAGAAGAAAGATACAGCAGTAAATGCCATTTCTAAAGCCTTAAGAACGTGATTCAGCAGCAGCTGACAGTTTCTAGTAAAAACATACTATATTGTGATAATGGACAATATTGAAGGTTGCTTAGGAGTAAAGGTCTTTCTTAAAATTGAGGAAGTGGGTGGATAATGTTGTTCAGGTTAGAACGGAAGGTCTCTTTAGGAATTGAGGAAATTGGTAGATGGTGAGGGTCAAGTCAGAAAGGAAGGTCCCTTTAGGAATTGATGAAATGGGTGGATGGAGAGGGCTAGGTTAGAAAGGAAGGTCCCTGTAGGAATTAAGGAAATGAAGTGGATGGAGGGGGTTAGGTTAGAATGGAAGGTCTCTTTAGGAATTGAAGAAATTGGTGGATGGTGTGGGCCAGGTTATAACTGAAGATCTCTCTAGAAATTGAGGAAACGGCCGACATGAAAATAACAGAAGAATAACGAACTATCTGTAGAATATTACTTGCTCAGCTTTTTCTTACATGTTCCAAGAAACCATAAAAAATCTTGGACCAAGTCAGACAGTCGTGGAATTGAACCGGTGACCTCTAGAAGGAATTAATCAAAAGATCACACCTTCATCGCGCCACTTGTATACGTTTCAAGAGAATGTTAACCAAGACTATTCTGATAGGTATGCCGTGCCTCGCCGTTCAGTTTGATAAAACGATTTACTTAATTGAAAAAGCCCTTATTAATCTTAATGATTCCACAGCCAGTGGTCAAACATTACAGGTGACATCTACTACATAAATCAGAAGACAAACGATTGTCTAAAACCACGATAGCAACTGATTTCACATTACGACATCCAGCAGAACTTAATAAATTTTGAACTATCAACCATGCATGCATACTTTTGTCCGGGGGTTCCTGAATAAACAACCTCGCGAGCCCTTAGAGATGTATCCCTTTTACTATCTTCCTATATGGTTTTTACTCTAAAGAGAATAATAAATAGAAAAAATGGGTAATTTCAAAATAAAATAACTGATTGGTTTCTAATCCTATCTATGAAAAACCTCTACATATGCGAATCACAAAAAATTTCAATAGGTAGGCACTCTTACATAAGAAATTAATAGAACAGAAATACTGAAAAACCTGAATATGTCATTGCAATTAAAAATGAACAAATAATATTAAATCACGGCTAGAAACGATGTGTAATTAGGAATTAAATAAATTACTTCTTGCACAAGAAATGCCATTAAAAGAAAAGGAAGATGTAGTGTTTTACGCAAGCGCTTTTTTTAATTTTCAATAATAACAATCGGGTGCAACAATGTACATACGCAAGTATATAAAACGAGTTAACAAGATCGTTTTCGTTTCGCTGAATTCGGCTCGACGAAGAAGTGAACGTGCAATCATATCAATCATTCATGCTCTGAAAAGCTGCTACAATACTGCTCCGAAGCATCGCCTTAATGGCGCAAGTCTTGTAATGCTCATACCGCTGAAACCAATGCATATGAGACACTTACGAAGAGCAGATGAACTATTTTGTGTAAAGTAGATGCGATAAACAATCGTACGCTGAGTTTAGCAGGATAGTTGAAGACAAAAAGCAATCACAATAATTTAAAATTGGAAACCGGCCCTGTGCGTGAATTGACAAAGAATAGCGCAGTACAATAAAAACTCTGCAGCTATATGGATGGAAAAGTAAACTTTGCCGATTACCGAACGTCTAAGATAAATAAATAAACACAAGCAATTTAGTACTATACATAACGTCGTACGTACTAAAGATTAATCGATAAATGAGCATAATCTGGATAATTTTAATTTTATTAAGCAAAGTCTGTAAACAACACCCTACGAAAAAGAGTAGGGTATGCAGTACCTTTCTTTTGAAACCACCGATACAAATTCACTCACGGACGAAAATTAGTTTCAAGCAAGGCTTGCACTCGCTGCAAATGATAAGGATGCGGCAACTGGGAATGTATTCTTTTAAATTGAGGATTTCGTCCCTATAACAACGATTTGGTTGAAACCCGTAAATACATGTTACGTCACATTATTGTAATAACTGTTTATTAAACTAAACAAAGTTTAAACCTTAAAAGAATAAACTCCTATTAGAGGTAGATTGTTAACGTAAACACCCTAAATGGGTGACGAAGGGGAAGGGAGGTCTCCAAAAAGGCGAAATTCAGAATCGACGACCAATAAGCACAATTCACTATTCAGTAAAATTAAATCAAAAATATCTTATAAAGTAGTACAACCAATCTTCTCTTTTATTTGCGTCATATTTAGTTATTAGTGCAAATGTTCAAATATTGAAAAAAAGAAATAAATACAATATAGATGCATGTGCTAAAATTTCTTACAGTTTCTTGTTGCAGCGTTTCATTAATTATGGAGTCGACTGTACATTCGATAAAAGCTTTAATTCAAGGACAGAGACGTTTTAATTCGCTTGCAGCACAATTACCACTACGGCGAAACCGAAAGTTTTTTGTAGTACAACAATAAGGCACACTTTGCAATTATTTTCAAGAACAGGCACAGTTATTTTGTAAACGGGAAGTACAACAATTATTAATATTTACGTCCTTTATTTTAATTAACTTTAGGAATTGATGAAATGGGTGGATGGAGAGGGCTAGGTTAGAAAGGAAGGTCCCTGTAGGAATTAAGGAAATGAAGTGGATGGAGGGGGTTAGGTTAGAACGGAAGGTCTCTTTAGGAATTGAAGAAATTGGTGGATGGNAAAGTTTTGGATTATACTGTTAAGGTCCTAAAGCCCAGTGGAAAATTTATGACTCATGTAACTGTGTTACTATTCTGGGTTTGGCTTTTTTGTTACCATTTTTGTTGTTGTAGGGTAATGGGGCCTGTTGTGAAGAATCTTTAAAAAAATACGAAAGTCTTATCACCGAACTAAATCCAACGGTGAAAATTAATAAGACAAAAGCGTTCGTACCATCGTTTTTGGAAGATTGGGTCTTCTATCAAATGACTTTTGGGCCAAAGGAATAGCGTTGTGTACCAGTGGTAAAAATTAATAATCCCACTTTCGAAAAGACTAAAAAAAAAATGTTTTTTTTTATGTAGGTAAATAAAACCAATTACATAGATGGTGTTACTGGTATATTTCCTGTTCATTCGACATATTTTAGTGGTCTTTCAATATTTAATGTACAAAAACCTAATCTTTCACATATTTCGTAAACCGCGTAAATATTATTCAACGTAAAAAGATGGACGTCAATGATTGGGTCCTTTTTGGCCGTTAAAAGGTTCTTTATTAATTCCGTTGTGAAATGAATTCCGAAATTGTACACGGACATGGCGTTGTGCTTGTTTTGTTCCACAATGGCGCTTACTTCTTGAGGTACCATTATATCACAAAACTGGGACATTTTTAGTAACGATTTTTGTGACGTAAACGCGAAAATTCCTGGTACAATAGGCACCTCTATTCCAAAAGATCTACATCTGTTTTGGAACGTTTGAAACGTTTTATTGTCAAAAATAGCCTGGGTTATGATGAAGTCTGCTTTGGCGTCTATCTTAAATTTAAGAGAAACTTTTTTAAATAACTTATTGTGTTTATTCTTTTTGACTTACCTTATCTTTGAGGTGGATCATGTCTTCTTGTATCGTTTTTGATTTGGGATGTCCCAAAGGGTACCCAGCTACGCCAATAGAAAAATGGTCACCATAATTTTGCCTAATAAATCTTATTAGGTCGACAGCATATTTGAAATCGCAATCTTTGTGAAGTTCTTGACGAATATCTAAAGGATTTATAACATGTTTAATCAGTTTTATAGATTTACTTCAAATTTAGAGATAATAGTAACGTTTGGGTATTCTATATACACTACTCTAAGTTGGTGGTAGTTTAGACATTATCTTGTTGTCATTGTCAAATAGATGTCAACTTACCTCCTTGCAACACAAGTAGATTTCTGATACCAATTTGTTTAATTTCATTTAAAACTGTTATTGCCTGGTTCTTGTGTAAACTTCGACTTGTAATATGCAAAAGGATAATATTTCCTTCATTTACAAGTAATTTGGACAATTTTAGTGCAGGTAATTGCTGTATATTTTGTAAACAACTTTCTATTTGTATATGCCATGATACTGAACAAAAATTTTTGTTTATTGCATTTAATTTACCTAAAATGCAGCTGCTGTTTGTTGGAGACAATTCAATAGATATTGTTTTATCTCCTGAAGACTTTTGCTTTGCGAAAATGTTTGCCAATTTTTCATTAAAAGTATTTTTAAAATACTCATCTTTATACAAACTTTCAGTCAGAAGAAAACTACGTTCTCGTAAGGTTTCTTTCCTGACTCATCATTAAAGTCTCCTATTTAACGAATGGAATTTTATACATATCTACATATAATACAATGTGAAATGCTGAAAAATTAAATTACCACCATTAAATGCTTTTTGCACTACTATCTGTTGACCATATAGTTACTAAAATATCTAGGTGACTTATTATGTAATTCAATAAAATAAATAGTTATAAGGTTTCTTTCCTGACTCATCATTAAAGTCTCCTATTTAACGAATGGAATTTTATACATATCTACATATAATACAATGTGAAATGCTGAAAAATTAAATTACCACCATTAAATGCTTTTTGCACTACTATCTGTTATCAATAAACAAACTAAATATCGGTCGTTTTGCTTTTATAATTAAAATTCTTAATTAAATATTAGATAAATTTCGGGATTGTTTCCTAATCTATCATTGAACTTTCCTTCGTGACTCTATTCAAGAACAATTTTAAAGACGAAATAATTGCGGTTAAAGGTTTTAAGGTCATGCAACGAAAACGTTAAAGAAACGTTTATCATTAAATGCCTCATAGAACGTTGAAATAGTAAATTTTATGATACAGCTATAATTATATTTAAATAAATAATAAGGTACTATTTGCCATCCATAGGTGAATATACAGTTAAGGCAAAACGTTCAACAAACAATGAAATTAACGCCAAAAAAGGTTAAAAGTCATTTATTTCTTAAAAACAACATTTGTCCATACAATTTGGAAAATTTTGTTTTTCAAGTGTCTTTTCATTTTTTTTTAAGCACATCTATCTGAAAATATCACCTGCTTGTCCATAAAATGTCCTAAAATACTCGAACTCTCAAAATCTTTAGAACAAAGCGTAGCAGTCCCTAAAAGAATTGTATTGCATTTTTTTGGACTTATATGACTTGACTGAATGTATTTGTACGAATTTTCCTCCATCACATCATATTTTTCAAAAGATTACTCTACCATTTGATGATTGCATATAAGAGAACAACAGTCGGTTCTTAACACACCGCTAGTGTATATGGTTAGTAGACAATAGAATATTTTTATTGTGTTTTAACGCATTATTTATGAATTACTTAATGTTTCTCTTAAATCTTTAATATACATTTAAAACTAATAACAATACACACATTTTATTACTGTACATTATGTACAATTGCACTATTCATTCAACTTCTGTCAAGTTACCTAACCTAACTCCTGATGTATTCTTTATTTAATAATTAACTACTTTGACAAACGAACGTATTGTTAATGTAATTCCCTACCACGCCAGGATCGGTACTGCGGAACTGCGGAAGCTGAAGTGACAATGCTCTCTATATCTCGTACCCGTCATGCAGCTACCTATCTGCGCATGCGCACTATAGTTAACAATCGAACAAACGAAGAGCATAGTTCCATACAATGATTTGTGTCGTTTTATAAACTGAGGGATACCTCCAGCTATTAAGCTTAAGCTTAATGTATATTGTACAAGTATAAAAAAAGAATTAATAAAAGATTATTCCCTATATTAAATGTTATCCGTTACATTAAACGGTAATAGAAAGATGCTGCAATTCCGTAGTGCTCATATACGAGCCGCCACTGATTATGATAGTAAGTACTGCACCCATAAGGCGTGGAAAATCCGTACAACTGATTATATCACCTACAAATAATCTAATTAATAACTCATCTTATGAATGAATACAAATCCATATCAGGATATATGTGGGTATACCATAAATGCGATAGCAGGTGTACGGATTATTCATATTCATGATCATCTCCAGACGTAGACCGATTTGAAATTTAATGCGCGATTCTTAAACTGTATTCGGTAGAACAGATAACGATTTAGAATGGCAAGGTCGACAAAAATACGTGACATACATAATTTTTTACTAAAAATATGGGCAATTTTACACATTTACTGTTTGCATAATAATTTTAACCAGGACTAATCGCTTATAGCGGATTTTTCCTAGATTATAATGCCGTTTTCCGATTACCATATATAAGAGGAATTCTTGAATAGACAATTTTGACGAAATTCACAGGGTCCAGGGTCAAATGCCTTATTTTCGGGAAAAATCGGCAGAACTTGTTTAATAATGACAAGTGGTAGTTAGTTAAATTTTTAGATTAGAGGTTACCAATCATATTCCTTTCTGAACGTTTCAGTTAGCAGTTGTCTTCTAAGGAAACCCAGTAAAAATACAGCAAAATGGTTTTTTAAAAATATTTAAATACAAAATGTTGTTATTTCAAATGTAAAATACAAAATAGATTTAGCTTTTATATATTAATTGCTAAATGCAAAATACTTTTTCGAATTAATACTTTTTTACTATTTAATTTTCTACATTCATTTAAGTATAAAATATTTTTTAAGAAAACCTTGCAGGCATTTGCTCATTTTTAAATATTGGAGTTTTTTAGACTAATAGTGGTGTTGGCACTATTTCACCAGCTGCTAAGATTGAGTATGATTCATATTTTTCTGCTTGAAGTGATGGAGATATAGTTTTTCTACCTTTATGTTATAGTTTCTCCAGTTCAGCAACAAATAATTCTTCTATATGCTTCCTTATTTACCTTTGTCACCCGTTTTAATTGGAAAAAAAACACTGATACCAAAATAATTTATTTAGCGTGAAAGATCAGAGTCAAAATAGGGTTGCAAATAATTTTATTGATGTAAAATCACCATCAATCATTTTATATCTAAATATTTACACAACCCAATGGGGTTGTAAATATTTATGTGTAAGAGAAAGAAATGGAATTCATCTTTAGCTTTGAGTTCAGCTAATGAATAAAGTTTTTCGAACCGTTTTCTAAGAATTTTGGATTATACTCATTTATTAGCACACGACATTATCTTGTAATTTTCAGTTTTACACAGCTGGCGTATATCCATTCGATATTGTTTTGCGGGCTGTTTTGTCGTAATTAATAGAATTTCGTAGTTCCTTGCTAAAGGTACGATAAGTGGTGATTTGTCAGGTGCTGATATCAATTT